GCTTGTCGCTCGCTCCCCTGGACTTTGTCTGGTCCACCTACTAGGCTTCGCCTGTGGGGGGGTCTCTTTTGTTCCATAAAAAATCACCGTAAATTTTTAGCCCAATCCGAGAACTTTTATTTCTGTACAAAAAATAACATCATGGTAGTTCAGCCGAAAACAACGTTAGTTCGGGTTAGTTTTATTCAAATCATATAAAAGTGTACCAAAATCATATAAAATTGTTGTAAACATGGTATGAATACTTTATAAATTATAGATACGCAGCTGTGCTATTCCAAGCCTCCGAAGGTGGGCTTTGTGTAATTGTATTGCTGGCTTTTGGCCTGATAATGTTTACAAAAGGAAAAAGGAAAAAGAAACAGCAAAAAACCACTTGAGGGAACCTTCCAGAAGGTTCCCAAAACCGGTTAGCCTTGCAGTGGTATTAACGCTCGCAGTGGGCCGGCCCGTTTCGCGGTACTCGCTCGGCTGCTTCAGCGGGAGCAACTAGTTAATGAGCGCTCCTTCGTAAGCCTCACAACGATCAGTGCCACTTGGCGCGCTCTCAGCCATTCTCCATGTGTCGCGCTCTGGAAGCTCCCTCCGGATTTTGTTTTTTTTTATTTTTCTGCACGTGTTTTCGGCTTTTTAAACGGGTTTTTCGGATTTTTTCGACATTTTGGTTTTCTCCCGGTCTTCCTTAGCATTTCGATCAAAAAAAATTCGAATTTTTTTTTTGCACGAAAAAAACACGTTTTCTTTTTTTTTTCTTTCGCGAAAGTCACAGTTTTCTTTCGAAAGAGGCACGATTGTGCTTTAGCGAGAGTCACGGCCGTGCCTTTCGGAAACGAAAAAAACGCGTTTTTTGTTTTTTTTCTTTCGCGAGAGTCACGGTTTTGCTTCCGCGAGAGGCACGGTTGTGCTTTCGCGAGAGTCACCGCCGTGCCTCTTGGAAAGGAAAAAACAAAATGCGTTTTCTATTTTTTTTCTTTCGCGAGAGTCACGGTTTTGCTTCCGCGAGAGGCACGACTGTGCTTTCGTGAGAGTCACGGCCGTGCCTCTCAGAAAGGGAAAAAATATGCATTTTCTATTTTTTTTTCTTTCGCGAGAGTCGCGGTTTTGCTTCCGCGAGAGGCACGGTTGGGCTTTCGCGAGAGTCACGGTCGTGCCTCTCGGAAACGGAAAAAAAATGTGTTTTCTGTTTTTTTCCTTCCACGAGAGTCACGGTTTTGCTTTCACAAGAGGCACGGGTGTGATTTCACGAGAGGCATGGCCGTGCCTCTTTCGGAAAGGGAAAAAAACCGTGCTACCGGTTCGGTTTTTTCGTCCGGTTTTTTTCGTCCTTTTTTTATGAAGAAAAAGTTCGTCAAAATCTATCAACATGGGATCTAGTTTTGAAGATCTCGATGCGAGGAATCCAATAATGAAAACGGTTCGAGATTTGGACGCACGGTTTAAAAGATAAAACGTTTTGAATAAACGGATCTACGAAAAAAGGGAAAACTCCCAGGTTGCGACAAGTGGCGCGCTACATGTGCGCCACTTGTCGCAACCTGGGAAAGTGGAGTGTTTTTTGCAACGAGTACTCCTTAATTAGTGATTTCGGTTTTAACGGAAGCGCAACAGTTCGGCTTTACCAAAACGTCGAAAAAAACCAAAAAAACCCGTTTAAAAAGCCGAAAACGCGTGCGAAAAAAAAAGCAAAATTCGAAAGGAACGTCCAGAGCGCGACATGTGACGAATGACTAAGATCGCGCCAAATGGCGCTGATCGTTGCGAGGCTCCCGAAGAAGCGCTCGTTAACTAGTTGCTCCCGGCAAATTATAGCTCTCACATGCATTAATTCCTTGTTATAGAAAAGATGTGGTAATTCCTATTTGTCGCTCATTGCGGCAAAATAGTTTATCTTCGGCTCATGCCCGCAAACTGAACAACCAGAGTGGTCTGGCCCAATTAGGTACAATAACATAGGGTTTAAGGTATTTTGCGGCCCAATTAGGTACAATAATATCATAGAAGCCTACGGGAGCAACTAGTTAACGAGCGCTCCTTCGGAAGTCTCTCAACGATCAGCGCCATTTGGCGCCCTCTCAGTCATTCACCACGTGTCACGCTCTGGACGCTCTCTTTGGATTTTATTTTTTTTATTTTTTCACACGCGTTTTCGGCTTTTTAAATGGGTTTTTTCGGTTTTTTCGACGTTTTGGTTTTCCCCCGGTCTTTCTTAGCTTTTGGATAAAAAAATTGATTTTTTTTCACGAAAAAACGTGTTTTCTTTTTTTTTCCTTTCGCGAAAGTCACGGTTTTTCTTTCACGAGAGGCACGGTTGTGGTTTAGCGAGAGTCACGGCCGTGCCTTTCGGAAACGAAAAAAAACATGTTTTCTATTTTATTTTCTTTCGTGAGTCACGGTTTTGCTTCCGCGAGAGGCACGGTTGTGCTTTCGCGAGAGTCACGGTCGTGCCTCTCGGAAAGGGAAAAACAAAACGCATTTTCTGTTTTTTTTTCTTCCGTGAGAGTCACGGTTTTGCTTCCGCGAGAGGCACGGTTGTGCTTACGCGAAAGTCACGGCCGTGCCTCTCAGAAAGGGGAAAATACGCGTTTTCTGTTTTTTTTCTTTCGCGAGAGTCACGGTTTTGCTTTCGCGAGAGGCACGGTTGTGCTTTCGCGAGAGTCACAGCCGTGACTCTCGGAAACGGAAAAAACATGTTTTTTATTTTTTTCGTTCAACAAGAGTCATGGTTTTGCTTCCGTGAGAGGCATGGTTGTGATATCACGAGAGGCACGGGCATGCCTCTTTCGGAAAGGGAAAAAAACCGTGCTCCCGGTTCGATTTTTTCGCCCATTTTTTTCATCCGGTTTTTTCGTGAAAAAAAAGTTCATCAAAACATATCAACATGGGATCTAGTTTTGAAGATCTCGACGTGAGAAATCCAATGGTAAAAATGGTTCGAGATTTGAACGCACGGTTTAAGAGATAAAACGTTTTGAATAAACGAATCTACGAAAAAAAAAAAAAACTTTCATGTTGCGACAAGTGGCGTGCTGCATGTGCGTCACTTGTCCCGACCTGGGAAAGTGGAGTGTTCTTTGCAACGAGTACTCCTTAATTAGTGATTTCGGAAGCCTACTAGTTAAACCGTAATTAGTAGGATATTAAAATAAAAATGTAGGTTGGGCTTCTATAATAATTCTGAAAAGGGGTAGCTTATTTTCATAGCCAACTATAAGCCCTTAGGAAGGCCTAGAAGACTTTTGCCTGCTTTTTTCTTGTTTTGTTTTTCTGTTGTCTTCTTTACTGTTTTTTAGTATTTACTTTTCCACAAAATGTTCTCAAATTTGAGAAAATGGTCGTAGTTTTTAAAGCAACTTTGGAATTTCAAAAAAGCTTACAAAATTTTAGAAATACTCAAAAAATGTTTATAAAGTTTTAAGAAATGTACATGTTATTATCAGAAAATGTTCAAAGTTTTTTAATAATAAGTTAAAAATCATTTTAAAGGAAATCATATTTTTATTACAATCTCATTTTAAAATAAGTTTAGGAAAAAGAAAATAAAAAATTCAATTGAAAACTAGCAAAGCAAAAAGAAGAACAAATGCATCGCTACAATGGGTCAACCTAAGTGGGTCGGCTCATTTGATCCCTCCTGGGCGTTCGGCTAGTGATTTTTTCCTAATTCCAATAACCTGACCAGAAAGAGGGTTTCTCGAAGGACTACAACAGCCACCGTTGTTGTCAAGGAAATTCTGAGCCCGTGGCTGCCATTTTGACGTTGAGAGGTGGGGGGACCTTGAACATTTAAGAGTTTCATGTTCTTCGTCAACGTCTAGTAATCATTGTCGCTTATTAAGAACAAAATTACTCTCTCTTTTGCGGTGTCATGGGGTTAAAGAGTTTTGTGTCCTCGCAAATCTAATTGCTCTGATCTGATGAGTTTATCACTTTATCTAAGTGTGTAAAGTTCTTTTTGTTGATTTAATTCTTGTGGAGGTGAAATCTTACATTGACATCATGGTTGAAATATTGTGATTGAATAACCTAGACTTTTAGGGCATCATCCGGGCTTTGCTACACCTAAGTTATTTCTTTCACGAAGGTTACGTACTATTTGATGTGGAGTTTGAGGATTGGAGTTGGTGGGCAGCGAGGGCCCATCTTGGTGAAATTCACGACGCGTGGGGTGGGGTAGGGGTAGATAAATTGAAAAGTTACGTAAAGCATGTGTAGGGATCGTAGGCGTAGCATTTTCGGTATCATCCGAGCCCAAGTAGACTTCTAGGCATTTTCCAATGCGTTGGTGGTAAGGTGAGGTGCTAAATGCATTAAAAATCTTACCAACTACTCTCTTTAATGCATTGGTGCTTACCTTTTGTAGCTAAGCCTTTTTCATTTAATGTTTTAACATCAAAACAACTTCATGCACTGGTTGGTAGTCATTTTACCTAGGTCACACGCTTAGCATCATTTTTTCCCGTGTTATCATAATATCCTCTCTATTTTTTAGTTGCTTTGCCACATCTTTTTTTTTGCCTATGTGACATTCTTAGCACCTGTATAACATGAAGCATTGGGGAGGACTTTATCTTTTTGAATGGGCGACTAATGATGCTTTCAAAAACCTTTATATCAACCTTTATTGATATTGTTCACGTGGATGAAAGAGTGACAACGGCATTGCTTCAATCATGCGAATCACATCTTTTTGTATGGACGCCTCAACACTGTTCGTGCTGGAGTATCGTAGAGTGGCGAAGTCGTCAGTGAAGCGAAGATACTGCTCCAGGTAACACGACACTCCACATTGGGTCCCCGGATAATAAGCCTCAAACAGATGCAAACACATGCCTTGTTGGTTTCCAAGATAAGCCTCCAAGTGGCACAAGTCAAGGCGGCTGCCAAACGAGTCAAACATTTCCGACCTTCCACTCAACGCAACCAGAGAGATTCAACCACACCTTAAATCGTTCGCGGGTCGATCAGCCACCCGTACAGCAACGGCAAAGAAGCTTGAAGCAATGGCAAGCGCACAGTTTTCCCGTCGTCTTCCCCTCTTCTTCTTCTTCGAGGTTGCAGCCGTCGCCGTCCTCGCGGCGCTGCTGCCGCTGGGCGGCCATGCGCGGGCCTGCCCCCCGTGCGGCTCGACGGCGGTGCCGTACCCGCTGAGCACGGCCGACGGGTGCGGCGACCCGGCGTACAAGGTGCGGTGCGCGGCCGGCGCGTCCACGCTCTTCTTCGACGCGCTCAACGGCACCTCCTACCCGATCACCTCCATCTCGCCGGCGGCGCAGCGCCTGGTGGTCGCCCCGGCGCCGCTGGTGTCCAACGACAGCTGCGTGTCCGTGGGGGCCCCCGCAGGGCGCGGCGTGCAGCTGGACCCGACGCTGCCCTTCAACGTCAGCTCCTCCAACACCATCATGCTCCTCAACTGCACCGCCGCGCTGCTGCGCTCCCCGCTCAACTGCTCCTCCACCTCGCTCTGCCACGCCTACGCCGACGCAGCGCGGTCGCCCTGCGCGCCGCTGCCGCTCTGCTGCACGTTCGTGGCGGGGGGGTCGTCGACGTCGCACCGGATCCGCGCCTCGCCCGAGCTCTGCAGCGCCTACGCCAGCTTCGTGGACCTCGACCCAGCGCAGCCGCCGGCGACGTGGGGCGGCCGGCTCGGCCTGGAGCTGCAGTGGGCGGCGCCGAGGGAGCCGCTCTGCCAGACGCAGGCGGACTGCGAGGACGGCGCCAACGCCACGTGCGCCGGCGACCCGGCCGCGGCCGGCGCGGTGCGGCGATGCCTCTGCGTCCCCGGGCTAGCGTGGGACCCCGTCGCCGGCGCGTGCCAGCAGAGTACGTTGTCGATGAATCATCTGGCGATATACTAGCGCCGAACCGAGCACGAGCCGGTCCATTTTGATCAGCGGCTCATCCATCGCGTATGCTTTTTTGTGCAGTTCCTTCTGATTGCGAGCGCGCTGGAGACTGCGAGGGATCCAACCGCGCGCCTCTCATCGCAGGTACGATTTACCTCTCTCTGATTACCCTGTTTCAGTCTCATCGTTACTTGCAATTGCAAATCTAGTTTCTCCGGTTGCGGTTTGCTTAGATCAGTGGTGTCATGTCAAGCGACGAACTCTTGCGATGTGACTGTAGCTAGTAGATGTGTTCGGCTTTGACTAAAGAAAACGCCGCATTCACTATGGTTTTGGTCAACATTGGTGGCTTTCTCTCTTCTCTTAGAAAAACAAGCATTGACTGGCCAGCCGTACGTTGGATCCTCGTGCTCTGAATTTGGGCTTCGCCAGCGACTGCTGTGTGCTCCATGCTGCCGTGCCGTCCTAGACTTGTACGTGGACGAGCGGCGTAAACACCGTCGCATCAATACCCTAAACGCAGCCGTTGCTCTGTTCGGAACAAAATTGAAGACCAGGAATACACATAACCACCACTACTACTTTCTTTTACTCAATCGATTAGAATTTCCTTCGTGAGTTGAATCACTGGATTCGATCAAACTGAACAGCTAATTTGCAATGCAGGGATAGTATGCGGCCTGGGCGGCGCCCTGCTACTGACAGCGGCAGGGCTGTTCCTCTACCGGCGGCAGCGGCGCATCCGGCTAGCCCGGGAGAGGCTGGCCAAGGAGCGCGAGGACATACTGAACGCCAACAACTCCAGCGGCCGAACCGCCAAGAACTTCACCAGCCGCGAGCTGAAGCGCGTCACGGCCAACTTCTCCCGCGACAACCTCCTCGGTGTCGGCGGCTACGGCGAGGTCTACAAGGGCGCGCTCGCCGACGGCACCCTGGTCGCCGTCAAGTGCGCCAAGCTCGGCAACACCAAGTCCACGGACCAGATCCTCAACGAGGTGCGCGTGCTGTCGCAGGTCAACCACCGCAGCCTTGTCCGCCTCCTCGGCTGCTGCGTCGACCTCCAGCAGCCGCTCATGGTCTACGAGTTCGTCCCCAACGGCACGCTCGCGGACCACCTCTACGGCGCCATGAGCCAGCCGCCGCTCCCGTGGCGCCGCCGCCTCGCCATCGCTCGCCACACGGCCGAGGGCATCTCCTACCTGCACTTCTCCGCCTCGCCGCCCATCTACCACCGGGACATCAAGTCCAGCAACATTCTCCTCGACGAGCAGCTCGACGGCAAGGTCTCCGACTTCGGGCTCTCCCGGCTGGCGGAGCCCGGGCTGAGCCACGTCTCCACCTGCGCCCAAGGGACGCTGGGCTATCTCGACCCGGAGTACTACAGGAACTACCAGCTCACGGACAAGAGCGACGTGTACAGCTTCGGGGTGGTGCTGCTGGAGCTGCTCACCGCAAAGCGCGCCATCGACTTCGGTCGCGGCGAGGACGATGTCAACCTCGCCGTGCACGTGCAGCGGGCGGCGGACGAGGAGCGGCTGCTGGACATGGTGGACCCGGCCATGAAGAGCCGCGCCACGCAGCTGGAGCTCGACACAATGAAGGCGCTCGGGTTTCTGGCACTCGGTTGCCTCGAGGATCGCCGGCAGAACCGGCCGTCCATGAAGGAAGTCGCCGACGAGATCGAGTACATCATCAACATTGAGGCTGGGCCCGCAGCCGTGGAGCAGCAGCAAAACGCATGATCGATGACAGTGAATCCGTGATACATTGATCTGACCATATATACATGAAGATGCGAAGGGAGCATCTAGAGAAGTCTAAGACAAACTTTTTGGGACAGAGGAAGTATATGTGTCTTTAGCATGTCTTGATGTTGTACACTAGGGTAATAGGGTTGAGATCAATGACGCTTAATATGTACTAGGAGCACTACAATTACCCCCTTTTGTCGTCTATATATACGAGGTCTTGTTCTAAGTCAAAAGGAATATCAACATCTACAATATCAACCTTAGTTAGGTACTCCTTTACACAAATTCTCGACGATTTCGCCCTTGCCATGTTATTACTCCATCCGTTTCAAAATAAGTGTCGTGGTTTTAGTTCGAACGAAGGCAGTATGTATCAACTTTCACAAAACCACTTCCCTTACTCTTAATGCCTCCCCCGTCATGTTTGCCTACTCAATTTTATGAGCTATCATGATTAGCGAGGAACTAGGGTTCTAGAGGCAAGAGGAGAAGGGGGTCGGGGCAAACGGAAGGGGAAGGAGTAACTGTTGAGGAACGTAGTAATTTCATAAATTTCCTACGCACACGCAAGATCATTGTGATGCATAGCAATGAGAGAGGAGAGTGTCGTCTACGTACCCTCGTAGACCATAAGCGGAAGCGTTATGACAACGCGGTTGATGTAGTCGTACGTCTTCGCGATCGAAGGATCCTCAGTACCGAACCGAACGTACGTCACCTCCGCGTTCACCACACGTTCAGCTCGGTCACGTCCCGCGAACTCACGATCCAGTAGAGCTTCCGGGAAGAGTTTCGTCAGCACGACGGCGTGGTGACGGTGTTGTTGAAGCTACCGACGCAGGGCTTCGCCTAAGCACCGCTACGATATGACCGAGGTGGATTATGGTGGAGGGGGCACCGCATACGGCTAAAAGATCAATGATCAATTGTTGTGTCTCCAAGGGGTGCCCCCCTCCCCGTATATAAAGGAGTGGAGGAGGGGGATGAGGCCAGCCTCCTATGGCGCACCCCATGAGGAGTCCTACTCCCATCGGGAGTAGGACTCCCCCCTTCCAAGTAGGAGTAGGAGTAGGATAGGAAGGGAGAGAAGAAGAGAAGGAAAGGGGGAGCGCCGCCCCCCTCCTTGTCCAATTCGGACTTGTAAGTGCATCTAGTGCCCCTTAGTGATTTTGGTGTATTGAAGACTTATAGGTTAAGGGACTAATGCGTTTGTGAGTGTACACAGGTCTATAAGTCTATGAGGGGTTTGATATTTATAGGAAAAGTTGACCCCTAAAAATAAATATCTTCGACTGAAGATTTTGATATTTCTGAAGACTTTCATGAAGACTTTGAAAGTGAAGAAATTGGTGTGTCCGTGAAGACTTGATATTCATGCGAGGAATATGAAGCTTGAAGACTTTCATTTTCATAGTTTTGTTTTTTCTCTTTCTTGAGTCATAGGAAACACCGTACTGTTAAAGGGGGTCGAGGAAATACTAAGGAAAAATTTCCATGTGATGCTCAACTCAAAATCCTACACCTACCAATCCCTTCGAGTGAAGCCATTGGAAATCTCATACAATTCAGTCAATTTCTTCACTGACAGAGACGAAGTTCTTCTGGTCTCTGAGGAATTTGTCCTGACTAAGGAGTTAGGAATTCGCCAGTGCGGATTGCATACACAGTGAGGAACATGATAGCCCTGAGGATTTTGCTACTCAAAATTCCGACGTTGTTGTGCTATGCGCCAGCTGTCCCAAAATATCTATCTACCTAACGGTCATATCATTGAAGGACATTTATGTCTTATCATGTCGGGCTGCTCCCTAGGCTATAAATAGCCGCCCCCTACAACCACTAGCTGGTTGGCTGCTCCGAGAGAAACTCACACTTGTCATTTGAGAGCAACCCATCCTCTGAGGATTTTGAGCGAAAATCATCAAGTGAGGAAAAACCAAAAACCCAAAACCCAAACACCTACAAAGCCCAAGTGATTGAGCATCACTGAAGAGATTGATTCTGCGTGGATCCGACGCTTGTTACCTTTGAAGACTGTGCTTCTTCCAGACGGTTAGGCGTCATGGTCTAGAGCATCCAAGAGGAATTGTGGATTGCCAAGTGACCAAATTTGTGAAGGTTTGGAAGTCACCAGAAGACTTACCACGAGTGCTTGGACGAGGTCTGTGTGACCTTAGTTCAAGGAGAATACGGTGAGGACTGGGTGTCCTGAGCTGCGTGTTCAGGACTGGGTGTCCGGGACTGTGTGTCCTCGAGTTTAAATACTCAGCCGCTCCAACCAGACGTACAACTGAGACAGCAGTTGGAACTGGTCTACCAAATCATTGTCTTCATCAAGCTTACTGGTTCTATTCCCTCAACTCTTTCATTTCCTCATAACTGTGTTGTGTGTTTATTCATATATGTGTTTGAAGACTTTGACTGAAGACTTTCTCAATTTCCTCAGTTCAATTTCTTCAGTCTGTTTGTCTTCATCCTGTGTTATCCCGTGTTTATGCTTCTGTACTCTGTGCCTGTCTTCATTTCATCATGATGACTATGCTTGTATTCTGTTATGTTTACTTTTGAGTACTCATTCCGCTGCTGGTAGTTCTTCGCTAAGGAATTTCCTCACCAGCAAATTCCTCAGTGAAGAATTTCATAAAAATCGCCTATTCACCCCCCCTCTAGTCGATATAACGCACTTTTAATTGGTATCAGAGCAAGGTACTCCCTTGTTCTGTGTGATTTTGGTTTAACCGCCTGGAGTTTTAGTTATATCGACCACAGGTATGATGTGACGCCCCGTGACCGATGTGCCAGGTGTCCTCCAGTTATTCATTGTTGTTTCCTTGTCATTGCTTGCGTGTCATGCATTGCATATCATGTCATCATGTGCATTTCATTTGCATACATGTTCGTCTCATGCATCCGAGCATTTCCCCGTTGTCCGTTTTGCATTCCGGCGCTCCTATCTCCTCCGGTGGTCCTTTCTACCTTCCTTTCATGTGTGGGGGTTAAATATTTCCGGATTGGACCGAGACTTGCCAAGCGGCCTTGGTGTACTACCGGTAGACCGCCTATCAACTTTCGTGCCATTTGGACTTCGTTTGATACTCCAACGGTTAACCGAGGGACAAAAAGGCCTCGTGTGTGTTGCAGCCCAACACCCTTCCATTTTGGCCCAAAACCCACCTAAACCCTCTCCATCATCTCGGTCGCTTGATCACGATCGCGTGGCCGAAAACCGCACCTCATTTGGACACTCCTAGCTCCCTCTAC